TGGCTCACTGCAACCTCCGCCTCCCGAATTCAAGTGATCCTCCTGCCACAGCCTCCTGAGTAGCCGGGAGTACAGACACGCACTGTTGTGTCCAACTTAATTTTTGTATTATTAGTAGAGAAGGGGTTTCACCATGTTGCCCAGGCTGGTCTCAAACTCCTGACCTCAAGTGATCCTCCTGCCTTGGCCTCCCAAAGTGCTGGGATTACAGGTGTGAGCCACCACACCCCACCAAAATCTTTTTTTTTTTTCAAGAGGGAGTCGCACTTTGTCACCCAGGCTGGAGTGCAGTGACACCTCCACCTCCCGAGTTCAAGCGATTCTCCTGCCTCAGCCTCCTGAGTAGCTGGGATTACAGGCGCCTGTCATGACACCCAGCCAATTTTTGGATTTTTAGTAGGGATGGGTTTTTACCATGACGACCAGGCTGGTTTTGACTTCAAGTGATCCACCCACCTCAGCCTCCCAAAGTGCTGGGATTATAGGCATGAACCACTGTGCCTGGCCCCCCTAACCACTTTTTACCAAGTTTATCAGCAGAACTCAGACAGACATCACCAACCACTCAAATTATTGCCTGGTGCTTCCAGCTAAGCTGAGCTCGAGAGCCCCTTCTGAAGTTTGTGGCCGGCTGATCCTGCCGTTCTCTACGTCTTTGCCATCCTCCGCAGACTCTAATTGCCAAGGCCAAGTCTAATTCCCCCTGCCAATAAGAATCCTGTCCCCATTTCCCTCTCCTTCTTCTGAGGTCTTGAACTCACAGCATCACTCAGAGGACCTGTCTTAGCCAGCTCACGCTGCTGTAACAAGAATACCATAGACTGGGTGACTTATAAACAACAGAGATCTATTTCTCACAGTTCTGAAGGCTGGAAGTCCAAGATCAGAAGACCAGCATGGCCATGTTCTGATGAGGACTCTCTTTCCAGTTCCACAAGGGGTAGACCGATGGCTGCTTCTTATAAGGGCACTAATCCCATTTGTGAGGGCTCCACCCTTGTGACCTAATCACCTGCCAAAGTCTCTGCTTCCTAATACCATTACATCAGGGTTAGGGTTTCAATATATGAATTTTGGGAAGACACAAACATTTAGTTCATAATAGGAGGCTTTTCCGTCTTTTTTCTTTTTTCTGAGACGAAGTCTGCTCTGTCACCCAGGCTGGAGTGCAGTGGTGCAATCTCAGCTCACTACAACCTCTGCCTCCTGGGTTCAAACAATTCTCTTGTCTCATCCTCCCAAGTAGCTGGGATTACAGATGAACACCACCACATCGGCTAATTTTTATATTTTTAGTAGAGATGGGGTTTCACATGTTGGCCAGGCTGGTCTCAAACTCCTGACCTTTAGTGATCTGCCTACCTCAGCCTCCTAAAGTGCTGGGATTATAGGCATGAGACACCATGCCCAGACAATAGAAGCCTTTTCTTGGTCTCTTGCTTTGGTAGTGAGATTTCCTTCCCCTGCCAGCTGGAAAAGCCAGGAAATCCGCCTCTGCCCCTAACAAAGCGCCAGGCATCCAAAGACACTCCATGAGCCAATTCTGGTCTATCCCTGATTGTGCCACCTGCTCTACCAGGCCAAGCCACCAAGGAAGGTGCCAGTTAAAACACAGCCAATTACGAAGAAGCTGTGACTCTCCGTGAGGACACTTCTGCCATCCTCCAGTTGCACAGGGAGGTTTTTCATAGCCGCTACCTGGTGTGAAATCACACCCTCGTCTATGCTGTGCTGGGACAAGAAGTACAGCTGTCATTAAATTGTCAGGGTCTCTGTGGCTTCTTCTTGTCATCTCTCTCCTACAGTGCTGTTACAGGCCAAATTCTGTGACCCCCACCACCATCAATGCACAGGTTGAAGTCCGAACCCCAAGTACCTCAAAATGTGACTGTATTTGGAGATGGAGTCTTTAAAGAGCTGATTACGTTAAAATGAGGTGATTGGTAACTGAGTTAAAACAAAGTCCCTCTAAGAAGAGGAAATCTGAAACCACAATGAGATACCATCTCATACCAGTCAGAATGGCTATTGTTAAAATGTCAAATAAATAACAGACGCTGGTGAGGTGAACGCTGATACACTGTTGGTGGGAGTGCTAATTAGTTCAACCATTGTGGAATGCAGTGTGGTGATTCCTCAAAGAGCTAAAAACAGAAGTGCCATTTGACCCAGCCATCCCATTACTGGGTATACACCCAAAGAAGTATAAATTGTTCTACTATAAAGACACATCCACAGGTAAGTAGTTGCAGCACTATTGACAATAGCAAAGACATGGAATCAACCTAAATGCCCACCAGTGACAGGATAAAGAAAATACGGTACATACAGATTATGAAATACTATGCAGCCACAAAAAGGAATAAGATCATGTTCTTTACAGGAACACGGGTGAAGCTGCAGGCCTCCCTCATTAGCAAACTAATGCAGGAACAGAAAACCGAATACCACATGTTCTCACTTATAAGTGGGAGATAAACAATGAGAACACATGGGCACAAAGACGGGAACAACACACACTGGGGCCTACTCTCGGGTGGAGGGCTGGAGGAGGGAGGGGATCAGAAAAACATAACTGTTGAGTACTAGGCTGAGTACCTGGGTGATGACGTAATCTGTACAGCAAATCCCTGTGACATGAATTTACCTATACAGCAAACCTGCACACGTACCCCTGAGCCTAAAATGAAAGTTTAAAAAAATGAATGAGTTAGAAAAAAAGAAAAGAAGAAATTTAAACAGGGAACAATACACAGGGAAGATCACAGGAGACAAAGCAAAACCAAACCTGCCGATGTCTTAATCTCAGACTTTCACCCTCCAAAATTAAAAGAAAATAAATCTCCGTTGCTTAGGCCAGCCAGTCTGTGACACTCTGTTGCTATGGTCTGAATGTTTGTGTCACCCCCAGAATTCATATGTTGAAATTCACACCCCGAGGGGTTGGTATTGGGAGATGAGGCCTTTTGGAGGTGATTAGATCATGAGGGTGGAGCCTTCATGAATGGGATTGAGGCCTTTATAGAGGCCCAGGAGAGAATCCTTGTCTTTTTCATTATGTGAGGACATAGCAAGAATTTGCTGTCTATGAACTAGAAAGCAGTCCCTCACCAGACACTAAATCCGCTGATGCCTTGCTGTTGGACTTCTCAGCCTCCAGAATCATGAGAAAGAAATTTCTGTGGTTTGTAAGCCACCTAGTCTATAGCATTTTTATTACAGCATCCCAAAAGCACTAAGACACTTGCAACAGCAGCTCCAGCAAGTGCCGGCTGTGTTGCCTCTGAGTGGCTTCTCCATTCCACGCCATAAATGAAGACGGCTATTTGCAAAGGCCCTTTATTCTCCTCTCTTGCTCTAGGTCCCAGAATGGGGGCATTGATTTCCCTGCTGGTATTTTTCTTTCTTTCTTTCTTTTTTTGAGATGGAGTTTTGCTCTCATCATCCAGGCTGGAGGGCAATGGAGCCATCTTGGCTCATTGCAACCTCTGCCTCCCAGGTTCAAGTGATTCTCCTGCCTCAGCCTCCCAAGTAGCTGGGACTAGAGGCACCCGCCACCCTGCCCACCTAATTTTTGTATTTTTAGTAGAGATGGGGTTTCACCATGTTGGCCAGGCTGGTCTCGAACTCCTGACCTCAGGTGATCCCCCTGCCTCGGCCTCCCAAAGTGCTGAGATTACAGGTGTGAGCCACTGCACCCACCCAGTATTTTTATTCTTGAGGGTATGCATCATTCTCAGCCTCCATGAATACACAGTCCCAGAAAAGGAATATTGGGATGGGGAACACGAATGTGCAGGTGTCTGTAAAGGCTACTTACCCCTGTTCCACCTGCCCCTCAGAATTACACACCAGCCAGCCCCTGCTGTCTGCTTCACCTGCCACAGGTCCCACTTAGACCAGGTAAACTAAAATTGCAAGACTTCCTTCTTCTCTCCTGCATCCCCTAGCCTTTCTCTGCTGCATTCTGAATTCTCTCTGGGAGCCTAAGTACAAATGAGTAAGAAGGATCAAGGGCAATTCACCAGGAAATCTACAAGGGATTCTCTAAATGTTGATGAAGCCGCTGCTCTTCCACTGTGTTGAGCTTTGATTTATTATCATTTTAATATCTTAGCAAGTGAAGGGCACCCTCATAAAGCATTATCACAGCCTTTAAATGGAGAGAAATTGTTTCCCTTGTGCCAGGGCAATGAAACTCCCGTATCATGATCTGCAGTCCAGGAAGAAATCTTCAGCAGAGGTTAAGAGCGTTAATATAAATTGAGTAAGGTTCTTTTCTGGCCTACTGAGCAAACCACTTCACGGCCATTAACATGGTGATATTTAAATAAACTTGCCTTCCATTGAGAGAGGGGGCTGGAGAGAGTGTCTGCTTGCATCAGGTGGGTGGACGAGATTGTGGGATAAGGTAATGCCATGCAGGTGTTTCCAAGGAGCCCTGGCTGGAGGCTATGCAGGGTCTGCATTGCTATTCAACGTCTTTCTCTGCCCATAGCTGCTTCTCCCCCATTCCTCTTGCACAGGTGTGATCCCTAGTAAACATTTTGCACTCCAGATTCCATCTTAGCATCTGCTTCTGCAAAATGAGACAGATTGAGATTGCCACAAAGGAGCTGGGAGCCACAGCTGGCCCTGCCCAGCTCAGGCTTAGGGACATGGTATATTCCGAGAAGTGAGTCTGAACTGCCCTGGAGGGGGTCGACATCTTACATATTTTTGAATGACACCAAGAAATGCCCGAGACATACAAGCCTTACCAATAGAGAGGACGGTCTGAACTTCATGAGCTCCTGATCATTCCACATCAGATGTTGGGAGTGAGAAGGAGAGATGGCAAACAAGAATTGCCAGAAGAAAAGCTGGCTGGGAAGGGAAGGAGGTGAATTCAGTTCTGGCTATATTGATTTCAGTGAAATCTGAAATGGAGGGAAGAGAGAAGACCAAATGTCTAGGAGCTTATAGGAAGCAGAAAATTTCCTCTTCAAAGTTTCCTTTCTTGTTAAAGAATAATCATAAGTGTCACAAATAATAGTGTGTTTTAAATACTTTCTTCAAAGACTTCTTGCTTTTTTGCTAATAGTTCTTTGTTAAGCCCTATCCTCTGTAGCTGTGAGACATGCCATGCTTACAGGCATGTAGTACATTCTATGTCCTTGTACTCTAACCAAGATATCTGTGCTGGACATGCTCACAGGCATGTCCCAGCTTGCCGCCTATGCCCCTTCCTTATTTAGGCTTCCAAAAAAAACGAAGATTTTTTGTTCTCCATTGCTTTTACCTGTTTAGAAAATTTTTAAGTTGTTAGCCAAACAGGTTTTAGTTTAGACTGTGAGGTGTGGCTCCAACCCGTGGAGATCAGACACAGCAGAAAGGATGACCCCAAATGCATAAAGGATAAATATGTCTGCTTTTCCTTTGTTCATTGTACTCTCATGGCAAGATTGCTGGCGAGGGTACCCTTTCTGCAGGAAGTAAACATTGGCTTGCTGAGAGAGCCTTTGTCCCAGTGCTGACTTTTCTTTGCAGCACCAAAAATTTACGAATAACAGAGGTGGAGAATAAATGGACCCAGGACTCTGAGCAGCAATCTGCCCCAGAGATATACACCTGGCAGCCATTAGCACATTGATGATGCAGCTGAGAATGTCTGAACCCAGGTGCTCAGGGAGTTTGTAGCAGGAGAGAAGGAGAGCCCCAAAGACAGAGCACAAAGAATCAGGATAAATTGCTTCCAATCATGAGGCTATGGAAAGATGGAGAAGAAAGAAATCCCTACAGATGGGAGAGGCTATCCAAGAGTTCCCCAAAGAGATGGACCTTGAGATGAGCCTGGAGGAACAGGTAGGCAGAGACCATGGTTACATGACAATGAAGAAGGTGTAGTTAAGAGGTGAGGATGGAAGACACAGGAAAGAAAAGAATATTCGATGGTACTGACCACTCATGGCTCTGTGTCCTTGGATGTCATATCACTAAGTCTGACTCTTCATCTATAAAGGAAAGTCACAGATAACTTTCCTTCAGATTGTTTTATGGATTTGAGGTAATGAGAGGAAAGTGCTTGACACAGCGTCTGTCACCTGGTAGGTTCTAAGCCATATTATTATTTTTTTTTAATGAGGAAGTCCTGCATGTTAAAATGCAGCAGTAGATACAGTGGCTTCTTGTTAAAAGAATTTTCCAGGAACAGTACAATGACTCAGTGTATCAGCTTAAATCTTTTGGGTTGGCAATCTCTCAAAAGTGCAATCTGAAGTGCATTTGGATGTTTAAGGGACTGTTATTTGATCTGTGAGACATGCAGACAGATTAATAAATTAATGGCCACATAAAGGGACTGCTCCAGTGTGACTGTGTGACAACCACCACCCACTATCTGCAGCCCACAGAGGGAGCCCACCACCTCAGAAAGCAAGACTCATGTATGCAAGGATACAGGGTGCCAGATGCTTCTAATTTTCTATTTCATTTTGTTCTCGAGATACCCTTGCTGAGCAATTGATATCTTTCTAGTTTTTACAGATGAGGAAATTGGAGCTCAGAGACATTAAAAACCCTGTCCAGGGGTCACACAGCAGTAGGCAGTGGGATTGGATTTGAACTCACCTGTCTGAACTTGGGCCTCTGGCATTCCACCCTGTTGCACGTTTTCCAACCTCTCTGCCACTTGTCTTGCAATGACCTCACTATGCTGAGTCCCTCCCCTTGCTTGCTTGCTTTCCCTCTGTATTAGTCAGGGTTCTCCAGAGGGACAGAACTAACAGAATAGATGTATGTGTAAAAGGGAATTTATGAAGGAGTATTAACTCACACAATCACAAGGTGAGATCCCGCAATAAGCCATCTGCAAGCTGAGGAGCAAGGAAGCCCATCCAAGTCCCAAAGCTGAAGACCTCGGAGTCCCATGTTCGAGAGGAGAAAGCACCCAGCGTGGGAGAAAGATGTAGGCCATATGGGCCAGAAGACGAAACCAGCCTAGTCTTTCCATGTCCTTTTTTGTTTGAGACAGAGTCTCACTCTATTGCCCAGGCTGGAGTGCAGTGGCACTACCTTGGCTCACTGCGACCTCCGCCTCCCAGGTTTAGACGATTCTTCCGCCTCGGCATCCTGAGTAGCTGGGATTACAGGGGCCCGCCTCCATGCCCAGCTATTTTTGCATTTTTAGTAGAAACACGGTTTCACCATGTTGGGCAGGCTGGTCTCGAACTCCTGACCTCAGGCAATCAACACCCACCTCAGCCTCCCAAAGTGCTAGGATTACAGGCATGAGCCACCATGCCCGGCCTGTCTTTTCACTTCCTTCTGCCTGCTTTTATGCTGGCCCTGCTGGCAAGTGATTCGATGATGCCCGCCCAGACTGAGGGTGGGTCTGCCTTCCCCAGCCCACGGACTCAAATGTTCATCTCCTTTGGCAACACTCTCACAGACACACCCAGGATCAACGCTTTACATCCTCCAATCCAATCAAGTTAACACACAATATTCACCATCACACCTTCCCAGAAATACCTCTTCCTCATCTCCCTTCCGTCTCAGCTGGTTCAGGTATTATGACAAAAATACCATAGCCTTGGTAGATTATAAACAACATGAATGTGTTGCTCCTGGTTCTGGAGGCCGGCAAGTCCAAGCTCAAGACACCAGCAGGTCTGGTGTCAGGTGAGGGCCCACTTCCTAGTTCCTACATGGTACCTCCTTGCTGTGTCCTCAAAAGGGGCAAACAGCTCTCTGGGGACTCCTTTATAAGGGCACTCATCCCATTCATGAGGATCCTCATGACCTAATCACCTCTCAAAAGTGATGCCTCCTAAATACCATCACATTAAAGGATAGGTTTCAACATACACAATTGGGGGGAACACACATGTTCAGTCCGTAACACCTTCTCCCTTAAGTCCCCTTCCCACCCTCTCCCCTGGAGTCCCCCTGAGTCCTCAAAGTCCCCTGAATCCTCCTCTTCTGGTTGCTCTGAGGCCACATGGCCTTGCTGGGACCCATCATGACCCTCTGGCATGACCAGACAATTCCAGGTACGGGCTCCAGGGTGCAGCATGCATGCCTGTGACCAAGGCAGGACCACAGCTGGCCCATAGGGTACAATCCTCGTGCTCTGGAAGACCACAGAGGGAGGATGGCTTGACGTCAGTAGTTCAGGACTCACCTGGACAACATAATTAAACCCCATCTGTTAAAAAATAAAAAAAATAGTGGGGCATGGTGGCGCATACCTATAGTCACAGCTACTTGGGAGGCTGAGGCGGGAGGGTTGCTTGAGCCCAGGAGGTCAAGGCTGCAGTGAGCTGTGACTCCACCACCATACTCCAGCCTGGCCAACAGGGTGAGACTCTAAGGCTCTATCTAGAAGCATGGGGGGGGAAGAAGGAAGGAAGGAAGGAAGGAAGGAAGGAAGGAAGGAAGGAAGGAAGGCAGGCAGGCAGGCAGGCAGGCAGGCAGGCAGAAAGGAAGGGAGGGAGGG